ATGGTTTTTCATACAAATTTTATCAAGCAACTAAATTTTGAAAATGTTGGAGTCGATTGCTCTCAATCACCAATTTAGTTTATTCTTTCATCTTATCCTAATTTGAATTAAGAAATGTATGAAAATTAATAAAACATGATACGGAATCACATGGAAAAGACATTTTCAAACAGAATAAATAACAAATTTTTGAAAATGCTTGACAAAAATAAAAATACTATACTTCCGCTATGGCATATCCTTTAAAATATCATATTATTATATAACTATAATAATACTGTTACTATTATTAATATATCTTTACAAAATGTTAAAACCGTAATTTATTGTATAATTTGTGATCATTTTGATTTGTGGTTTTCCTTAGCTGCTCACTAATTTAGCTGCCATAATGTAAACACTAGTGCAATTATGTTTAACTGAGGACTATTAATAATGAAGTGAAAGTATTTAGAAACTGAACATATATTTTTTATATATGAATTAATATTGAAAATGGTAAATATAAACTTTTGAAATTTGATAAACATGCCGCAAACATAACTTTAAATAAGCAATTTTTTTTACCACTACAGGTATTTAATTTAATCAAAAATATTATTATTGGACAGAAAACATTATGTAAAACCGATATCTATCATTCAAACTTCTTCGCTTATTTTGAATCGCAACAATGAAATCAAATCTAAAATATACTAGCTTAATTAATTACTTAATGTATTTTCTATGGTACTACTTTTGAAGTTTCACTTATAATTTTTAATATATAATGTATTCCTTAAAATATCTTGCTGAATTTTCATTATATAAAACTTGCTGGCAAAAAGTATACAATATCCCATATATGGGAGTTCGTATATAATTCCCATACACTCAGAACTTCTGCATATAAGAACTCTGTCATTAAACTGCCAAGTGCCCAAATTCCTGCAGTAGCTCTTAAGTAATAAACAGTAAAAAAATAATCGGGATACACACACAAACATGTTATCTGGATAATATGCCAGAAAATCCTCATAAAACTGTTTGACAGAAAAATTGAAAATTGCAAGCTAATCTTATAATGTGTAAAGACTACGCCTTTCATTAAGGCCAACAGAAACACCAAATCCTGAGAAAATCCAAGCTTACATGGCTTTATCTCGTTTTACAACTGCTTTAGCCAATTGATTACCAGAAAAAGCAAATAAAATGAAAAGAACAAAAAGTACAAGATATCACAGTAAAGAAATTGAAAGGACAAGCAATCCGTAGTTCGTCTTCAATGGAGGAAAAAAGGCTGGTATTACTCATGCAACCTAAAATCGCAGAAGAAAGCGTAGAACACATGCAAAAGACACACGCATACTTAAGCCAACTCACCCCACCTAACACGCCTACACAATCGCACATGCTGACAAACGAAGATGTATGCATGAAAGCAGACTGTCAAGCAGGCAGCGTGCAGTGCTGAAGTGCATTTGAAGAGCACTTGATGCACGTTTCATTCTATACTTTTGGGCGAAACGATGCACCCTGAACTGCTTCCTTTGCTGTGAGCTGCAAATTGTTAGTTGCCTGTATTTTTAGTTGCCTGACGTAGGCGTAACACAAAAATTGTTAATTCTTCTCTTTTGTATTGTTTGGATACTTGCTTTGTATTGTTTTTTCATATTTTTTTTTATATTGTCTTCACTGACTTTTTCCTTGCCCTAATGAAATTGTTTAATTTTTATGCTAAAATCACGTTCGTCGGCGTTTAAAAGCAATTCTTGTTGTTGAAGCATTCATTGTCTTTCAGTTTTTATGTATGATTCCTTTTCGTGTCTTTCTAAGTGTTTCTAATGCTCCACAACACCCTACACCATTATGAGATTAGTACTATGAACTTAGTGGTACCAAACAAAAAATAATAAGCCTACGCAGGTTAGGAATTCAAGTATTACTAAACATTTTTAACGAAATATTTTTCATGTCAATCATTTTTTCAAGCATAAACATCTCGGACGGAATGAACACCTTTACGGGTTACTTGTCTCCAGCGACTGATTATTAATAGCTTCTCTGATATCACTAAAGTAACGAGTTAAAAAAATAATCATTATTATATCTTGTAAAACGAAGACATGGATTCTTTTGATTGCATCTCTTGGGTGTAAGTGTTGGCATATTCTAAATAATACAAATACAATACAAATAAATTTTTAAACAAAGGACAGTAATAATAAACCCAATAGTTGTAATAATTATGTGGGGTTTGTTGGTTATTTTTTTTTTTTTTTGCACAAAAATATATAAAAATTAAATAAGATAGTGGAAATCAGTTCACGCATTGTAACTGCTACTTACTCTGTATTTATTATTTAGTGCTCTAAGGACTCTTCAAAATGATACGTCCATAACTTAAAAGTTAATATTTTTTGAAAAAACTGTATTTATCCTCTAAAGAAGCAATGAATTTAAAAGGCTTGTAATTGATGCCAATGAATTCAATTTTTTAATTAAAATTCTTCACTTCTGATACGTCACTGACATAATATAGACATAATCACATATTCTCCTATATTCTGTAGTTGTTTTTTATTTCTTTAATTACTTTCTATAATTTATATCAAGAATAAATCCAGAATGACATAATTTCAACTGGCTAGCTTACACTTTCTTTGTAATGAACTATACAATAACCACATGTCGTATCCTTCTTTATACATTAAGACCTATTTTTAGCCCAAACAAATTGTTATTGCAATTGATTCCGAATTTTATTTTTTCTTTATCTTTTGCTTTGCTGCTATTAGCATTAAATTTTGATTTTATCCTTTTGTTATTTGTTGCAATCCTCCACTGAAATCAATGACCCCCGAAATAATCAATACAGCAGAATGGCAACAACTGAAAGTACTTCATGTGAAACTATTCCACCGCATTCGCCGCTCTTTTCGTGCTATTCAACTACTTCAAAGCGATGGGAATGATTTGCCAATAACGACGAAAAACAGTTTTTATGACAGCCATAAAAGCACTTGATCCTTGACCAGGCCAATGCTGTCGTCTTTCTCTCATTCGTGTGCTGCCGCTGTTACTTGGCTGTTGTGTGAATGCGTTTCATTTACTTAAAATGCCATAACGACCGATCAAGATATCCTGCTACAACAATTTAAATGCTATTTTCCTTATGCGAGTCGCTATCTTAATAGACGATCACAATGACAGATTCAGTATTAATGCGGATTTTATCTCGAAAGTGGGCAAACATGGACAAAGCGTGTGGTTTGCCTTATGTGGAGTGCTTATTATTTATTAAGACTTGGTAAATTGCTTTTTAAGCAAAAATTGATGAGATTCTGAATTGATAACAGCAAAGCCAAATCAAATTTTAACAGCGCAATAAAAATATGAATTATTAATTATTTTCTATTGAAAAATGGAACTAGAAGCTATGTATTATGAAAAGATAATATCATTATGAAAGTTTACGAACTAACCAGTAACCACTTATGCACTAGTTGTACAGAGAAGGAAACACCAGCGCCAATGAAACCCATAAACTGTGTGTAGAATGCGAGCATAATGCTCTTTTCTACATACTCATGGACATTTTTTCTGGCAGCAACAATGTTTTTATATTATTTATATGCAAGTTTCTTGAGAGATCGATTCAAACATATTATCTGGGCATTTCCGCCAACGTAAGAAACATTTACTATAACACTTAGAACACGATTAAATTAATCGAAATGAGTTAATCACTATGGTCAGATGTTCAATGAGTGCCGTCTTCCTCTTCTCGTTGCTGTAGGCACAAGTGAGTTCTACAATGGATCACATTTTTTTTCGTAATTATTGGCATTGTGTTTAGTGGCAATTATCTTATCAACAATTAGTTTTTATCTAGGCTTTTGATAATATTTAATGCTCTTTTCTAGCACTTTTATTCTTTTTTTTTGTGCTGTTTTTGTAATATTGTTCCTGTGTCTATATTTATTACTTACTTTGCCAGTTATTGGTGGTGTTAGCATCGTTTTTATTTATTTTCTTAACATCTTAAAGATACTTATACTTATATATATCTATACTTATATATAGATGAGCTACCTTAAGAGTTAGAAATGTTTACTGTGTAACTGAATTTAGTACGCCAATTTTTGCAGCCATGTATCAACCTAATATGTTTGCACTGACAGTAGGAATGCAAATATTTAATATTATTATTTTACTTAAAAATTTTAAATATATTGAGATAATAAATATATTCAGTAATTGATTGATTTAAATAAAAATAATCATTATAACAACAACATATCCTCATCGATGATACGATTTGACTATAATAAGTCGAAATTAACTAAGAACCCTTTAAAATAAATAACCCATGCAAGCCATAAGAAAAATTTAAGATTTTTATATGCCACACCAAATCAGAAAATAACAAATAAAATGAAATAAAATATAAAAAAATTTAATTGTGAATGTAAAAACCCAAAACAGGACCTCATTTCGAGGCGCTTTAGTCCTTACGGGCAATTTTAACACAATAGGAGATGATATAAAGCCAAGGGAGACTGAGTACCAGAGGTCTTCAGCACAGTACAAATAAAACAATTTTATTATTATTTGATTTCTTTTATTTTTGTACGTCTTTTTGTGTGATTTCTTCTTTGTCGAATTCTATGAGTACAAATGAAATTTATTTGCCATTTCCGTGTCATTAAAGGAAGCATGGAGCGTTCATAAACACACAACACTGCATCGCATTCGAGCAAAGCAAATATGAAAGCAGCGCAAGATATTGCAACTGCAGTTGCATTTCCGCCTGAACTTCGCTTTAAGTCCAAAACAGTAAACCATTTTGTAATTGTTTGACCATACGTTTGTGCCCCTAAGGTTCGCAGCAATTATTGACGTTTAGAATATTTACTTTCCAATTAATTCTTAATATTTAAAGTCAAGAAATTATCACTCTTCGCAATCTCATTTTCACTCTAATCACATTTTAAAAGATTTTTAATTTTTTATTTCAGCTCGTAAATGAAGTGTGAATCAACTGCAGTAGCGCTACTGCTTAAATTGCTGTCTGTCTGAGGCCTGCGCTGTTGCCTACGCTACTTGTCACAGCAAATGTTACATTCAACGGTAACTTTTTTGTGCTTTATTAAAGCGCTATTTTTGTACCTTATACTTTTGCACTATACTAATGGATATTTGATAAGAAATTGCATGAAAAAAACCGGAAAATTTTAAAAAAATACTTCGAGAGCTGCAACGCAAAATAGGCTACCATCAAGTCACCACTCTACAACGACACACAGGAACTAAAGTCCTCTATACTTCATGTTGACACACGTGGTCTTTGATATATTAATATTTGCTGCGGCCAGCGTCATGAGTTCAATATCTATCCGAAGGACAGACGGACAGGACAGATGGGTTTCTGTATGTACGTAACTGCATTTGTTTCCTTTTCCGTCGTTTTCAGCTTTTTAGTTTTTAATGCATTTTAAATATTAATGGCTCGGTGCGACCGGATGATGGTCTTCAACGACCGTTTTTTCACACAGGTCGGTGGGACTTTCGTCCGTTTGTAACGTCATTTGTCAGCAAAGAACAGCAAAGTGAAATGTGCAAAAATTCATTGAAAATTATGTAAAAATCACATTTTAAAATTTAATGTAAAATAAATTTATTAATTTAAACAAACATATATTTTGTCACTAATCTAATGTAAAATAAATTTATTAACTTAAACAAAAATATACTTTATCACTCTAAATTTTAGCTGATATGATTTCTTTGCCTTATGTATTTATGTGTATATGTAAATATATTACGCGAAATAAGGTAGAATATGTATAGCATTATCGAAATGTTTATTTTGTTATTCGTTTTTAATGTAGCACCGGCTATTGGATGATTTCGCTTCGAAACTTTTAATAATAAATAATAATACTGTGTACTTAAAACACATTATTCCAATTTTGTACACATGTTAATAAATATTTCCTATAATAATCACCTCAAATACCTTCAAAGTCATAAATAATTGATTGAATTGAATGAATGTTAAATGAGAACATAATTCAAGAAATAATCCAATTTCTTGATTATCTTAAATGAATATACCAAGCTGTCATATCCTTGTGTTAATTCAATACTATTAAATACAATATGTATTGAAATGTATGATTTTGACGATTAAAAGCTGTGCATAGTTAATATACTATAGAAGAATTTTTTTAACTATTTATGAACTGATATCCATTACGTGATCCTGATTTGTCAACACTGACTCAATGATATGTAACACGTACAACTGTCACACATCTGTATGATATATTTAGTTTGAGGTTTGATATTTTAAAATGTTTATATCGTTAAACAAACGCTGAAAGTGTTAAAATTATGGAAACAAAGTACAATTTTTCGCATCCAATTGGGTTCAATGATGAAGCTTATTTTTTGGTTGGTGAATATATAAACACACAAAACGGTGGAAAATGTGACAATAAAACTATATATTTTAATCTGCAGATATAATAAGCCCGTACATCATCGGACTTGTGATCAATGCAACGACCTGATAAACAATTGGTGTGAAGTTGAAAATATGAATATAGAAATTATGTGGTTTTAATCAGACTACCATAAGTGTCAAAAACCATACACGTGACACCGTTTTGCCTTTATTGTGCGATAAATTGTCAGAACGTGTACTTTCATGTTTCGGTGATGTAAATTAACTAAGTCATTCTATCTGTTAAACGAGATTTTTTTGTGTGAATACTTTAAGTTCATGTTAATGTTATCGTGTTTATCTTTTAAGTTATGGAAAATTACCACAAAAAGATCTAATACTGTAAGGGAACCATGGAGAACATTTGAAATATATTGTATTTCATTCGTAGTAACAAGGTTAAAACAATATGCTGAATTAAAAATGAATTAATGTTCTAAAATATAATATATATAAAATATAGTAATAATATATATATAATAATATAATAATATATAATAATAATAATATATGGGGTGTTCAAAATTACTTGTTTAATTACGTTTCACTATGTATACACTCTATGAAGTGTATGCGAAAAGCCTTCATATTCAACGTTTTATAAATGCATATATTTGAAAATCATTCAACAGTACACATAACAGATCATTAGAGTATATAATCTCTCTTATAGAGATTTCACCTAATAGACTCCAATTTTTTTCACACAGAATTTATTGTTGATATTCACGTAAAAATCTTAAATTCTCCACCATTTTATAAAAAACTTCTACAAAATATCACGCACAGCTAATCCCATCTTTATAAGTTTTTTTGAAATACATTCAAAACTTTTGTTTTTACTAGTTTCTTATTAAAGAAATATACTCAGCTTAGCATTCATGACCATTAGAACTGCTATTTCGTAGTTTTTTCGTAAGTTATTATTTACCTATTGTAATAATCGTTTTTAATAACATTTTGACTATGGGGTCTACAATAATTAACTTATATACGTAAATAATAAACGAAAACAAACTGGAAAGTACAAACTGTAATTATATACTACAGGTAGTATATTTTTGTTATATATAGGTATACTAAGTATATTTAAATTTAGCGTTTGCTCTGACGAATGTTATTTTCTTCAACATAAATGGTTACAATAAAAACCAAATATTCCTCCGCAATAATCTCAATGTTATATAAGATTTTCAGAAATTCTTAAACATTTGTTATTGTTTTATACTGTATTATAGCATATATAAAAATTTTAAAAATTTAGTTTTTACCTTTTATATACTATGTTGAGGCTTGTTGAGTTGAGTCAGTGCACCTGAGCACTTTTACTCTCTATTAACTGCGAGGTTTCTACAAAACCCCTCTTTGCGCCTTGACTGGATTTTTGTTTATCACTTCATCAGACTAAGCAATAATTGACCTCAGATCTGCATACCTCCCCGAGGAGCCTGTAACCATTCTGAGATTTGATAACGCGGTGTTAGTAAGACTGTCAGATTTCGCAAATAATTTCAGGGCTCTATCCTTTATGTATTTTTTGATGGGTTCAATCTTGAGGTCCCTGAGGATGTCATTCGTCCTAATGTACCAAGGAACTTTGAAAAGTCTTCTCAGAGCCTGGCTTTGTGCAATTTCTAACTGGTGAATAGTAGTGTTTGAAGCTTTGCTGAACGCTACACAACCATATAGAAGTGACGGACAAATTATTTAGTTATATATCAGTTTCCTGTTCTTAGCATTGAGGTTGTAACGACACGGATTTTCCCGTTTCGTTATAATTTATGCTGGGGTATCCTCAGTCTTTTCCAGGGGGTCGCTACAATAAATTTATATTCGCGGAGACAGGACTTCTCAAAATAAAAGTAATGCGTTTATAGTTTCAGAACTATTTATTTATAAAAAAATTCAATGACATATAAAGAGTATTTAAATGTGATAATTATTATTATTATTAATGGAAAAAATTTTTATTATGACTGGGACGGCACGTCAGTGGCAGTTGATTCTTTGGAAAACTCTCAAGGGGATTACTTCCAATGACTATTTCGGAGGGATTCTAAATGGTCTATTCTGGTCTTGTAATTGGCTTCTATGTTCACCTGTTCGGATAATAAAAAAAAGAAAGATATTGAGGAATATATGTTTGATTTATATAATACACATATAATGGTGTCCAAGCGCGTTGACTTAAAACCGCCTTACGCTCGTAAACGATTATATATATACTTTTGTATTAGTTATACACATTGACTTAACACCGCCTCTGTGTCAGATAATATTTTATTGTATTATTTTATTAGTTGACATACAATGCCACCGAGTGATCATACAAGACACACTCCATTCTTAGAAAATTGCGCCTTATTTTATATGCATTTCTCTTGAACTTTTTGTGTAAAGTACACAAAGCTTAGAGTTGATCTTAGTTGAACTTACTGCACTTAACACTTTTGCACAAAAGCTCCCTTGTGCATCTTTTTGCAGCGAATTGCATTCTGACATTTTTGACGTTTGTAAATGTTTGTTTACATTTTTATAGTTGAATTATTTATAAATAAAATAATAAATGATTTATAAATAAATTATTATTTATTAATTTAAATAAATTTATGTGGAAAAATAATGAAGGTATGTTATATTGTTATTTTTATTTATATACCTTTTGTATATATTATTGAAATGTTTTCTCCTAATTACAGATTACTTCACGTATTTTGTTCAAAGTGGTGGTGTTACTAAATTTATGTAGGTTGGAAATTATTACAAAATTTCCATCCTTACAAGGTTTTCATTTCTAAATAGCGGTTGGAGGTAATGAAGAATTTTGGCGCAGCTAATTCATTTCAGTTGAACATGTTTAAGCCATGTGAATCGTTTGTCCAACGTGATGCCGAGATATTTAACGCTATCCTCCCAGTTTATCACCATATCACCCACTCTCACTCTTGACGGATTCTGTCTCCACTTACGCGTTATAAACAGAGTCTTAGTTTTTTCATTATTGATTTTTATTTTCCATTTCTGAAAATACTCCAGAATGAGGTTTATATGCTCTGGAAGTGTGTTTGTTATGTTGAGAGCACATTTGTCTGAGTATAACTTACACGTATCGTCAGCATATAACGCCAAAATCGAGGGACCTAACAATGGAATATCAGATGTATAAATGTTGTAGAGAGTGGGGGAAAGTGGCGATCCCTGAGGAACCCCTGCTTCTATAGATCGAACTGACGAGAGAGCGCTGTTGATTTTCGTGCGAAAGGACCTCCCACGTAGAAAGCTGCCAATGATCTTAGTTAGTCTGCCTGGAACACCTAGATGAGACATTTTAACTATCAGACCATCATGCCAAACCTTGTCAAAAGCTTTAGAAATATCAAAAATGATAATTTCAGTTGACTCTCTTCTACTTAGAGCTGCCTGGATCATTTGGGTCGTTCTAGCCAGTTGAAGCTCCGTGGACAGGTCATTCCTAAAGCCAAATTGTTCATCAGGGAGTATATTGCGTGAAGCCACTACATCATTTAATCTGCCAAGAATTACCCTTTCGGCAAGCTTTCCTATGGTTGATAGCAGGCTTATGGGGCGCCAGTTCTGCGGGAATTGTGGTTTCTTATCCGGTTTTGGGAAGACAATGACTGTGGCCAGCTTCCAGAACTTAGGAAATTTACCTAGCTTGAGCATGCAATTAATTATGTTAGTGATAAGCTGAATTACATTCTCAGGCAGGTTACGTAGGCATCTGTTGTTAATTATATCATGACCAGGTGCCGATCTTATCTTTAATCTTGCTATAATTTGGGTGATTTCTTCGACAGTGCATGGAGCAATGCTATCATTTGGCTCTTGATCCAAAATATTATTTGCCTCCTCGGAGATGCGTTATTCTTCCTCTGAGTCATATTTAAGTCTTTATTGGGCTGGAATTGAAGTTGAAGGGTGTCCGCGAAGGCCTCAGCTTTTTCTAAATCTGTATATACCAAGCCTGTCACTCCATGGATGGGTGGTATTACTGGTTTACGCTTCAGCCTGAAGTACTTATTAATGGCCCAGAAGGTTTTATCCCCTGTTTCAAGACCCATCAGAAATTCACGCCATTTCACATTTTTAAATGCATAGATCCTTTTCCTGATTTCATTTGAAAGACGATTGGCCTCCCTTCTGCTCTCTGGGTCACCCGTTATTTGAGCAAATTTCCAGACTCTATTTCGATTTCTAATTATGTTTTTAATATGCTGCGGTAAGTTAAAATAACTGCATGGTTTTCTATCTTTGAGGGTGGAACATCTATCCAAGACCTGTTTTAATAGATGCGTAAGGTTCTGTATACAGTTATCCAATTCTTCTGAGGTTTCTGGATGGTTATTGATGCAGCTGGTGTCTACCAAATTCTTAAAAGCATTCCAGTCAGTGGTAGAGAATGTAGGGGTCATAATATTCATGGGGCAGTTTTCAAGAATGAATAGAACCAGTTTATGATCAGAGTCCAGCTCATCCAAAACTTCCACAAGCACGGTATAATCTATGTTGGACATACCAAGGTCTATTATATAGCCTGCTCCGCTGCCGTAGTGAGTTGGCTATGGAGTTGGAGCATATAGTCATTAACGAACTGGACAATTTCTCTTTCGGCCCTATTCGTACTTCTATCTCCCCAGTTTCTGTGATAACCATTCAAGTCTCCAGCAAGGAATGTGGGTAAGTTGTTATTAATCAACGTTGCTAGGTACCCCAGATAGGTTTTCACGTTTGGCGGCCTATAAACTGAGGTAAAAATGATATTACCCGTTGGGCATTCTACCTCCACTGAAGTAGCTTCAAGTGCTTGTAAATTATCAATTCTGAGATGATGTTTGATGTTTCTCCTAATAAGGATAGCAGTGCCCCCTCCTCTTCTTGAGACCCTGTCTGATCTGTGAATGATGTAGTTAGGGATTTTTAGCTGCATTGAGGGTTTAAGGAAAGTTTCTTGCAGAATTAATAATGTCTATTTCAAAATCATGAAGAAATTGTGTAACCTCGTGTTTCTTGTTTGTTATAGAATTTGCATTCCAGGTCACAACTTTCAAGCGATGTGATGGTGTGTTCATTGTGAAGTTAAAGTTGGCAGTAGGCTTTGTAGCATGGCTTGCATCATATTCTTCATAATTGAGTTCAGCTGTTCCTGGAAGTTGTTCATTAACTTTTCTAATTGGGCGGCCGGTGGATGTGGTAAGGAGGGGAGTTTTTGGGAAAAAGTTTTTTTCTGCAAATTCCGCATACGTCATTGATGGCTTTATTGAGGAGTTAGGTGGTATCACAGTGTTATCTTTTCTTTTTGAAATGTTTTTCGGAGCACACGGGCATCCTCTTTAATTTGCCGGACGATCACCGCCGCAGTTTGAACATTTCGAGGAATCTTCACGAGGCTTCATACATAGGAAGTGATGATGTGTGCCCTCGCACTTAACACATTTGGGTGCGGCCTTACAGTTAGTGGCAACATGACCAAACTGTTGGCAGTTGTGACATTGAGGGGGACCTTTTAGCGGGTGCTGAGCTTCAACAATCACTTTTAGATGGCAAACATTGGAAATGTTGTATATATCCTTTTGGTACGCAGGGAGACGAATTTTAATAAGTTTGTCGACTGTCTGCCTCGTCTTAAGGAAGTGGCACTCAAGGCTGCTAAACCCTTTCTCTTCAAGATATTCTTTTATATCCTCTGGATTTTGTCCCTCCAGGCCTCTGATTATTATGTTAAGGCACTTCTCATCAGGAAGAAAGTGTGTGTGTGATAAGGCTCTTTAATCTCGGTAAGGAATTTCGTCATTTTCCGGTGGTCATCAATTGTTACTGGCGTTATTTGGATCCCAAAACGCACCTTTTTAGCCTCACTAAACTTCAAGTTTCTTACATGGAATTGTTTGACCAAAGAGCCCCAAGTGTTAGTCCGACGTAGCACAATGGGGACAACTTTTCCTAGTTTCTTATCAGAGGTCGCGCCATCACAAACCGGGTGCCCTTCGCTGCGATTACTTGAATTACCTGTGACGTTTGCGCCTTCTTGAACCACCTCGCCTTCATGAACCACTACTTGCTTAGGGGATTTCGGAAGGTTTACCTGATTTATTAAGGATTTCTCACCATGGGTGGAAGCGGCCTTAATCAGTTCTGATACCACTACACTAGTTGTGGATTTGGGAACTTTTTCCTTAAGTTTTTTAGACGATTTGATTCTCGTATCGTAAGTTGGGAAATCTGTATGTAAGAGCTAGAGGGCCCACAGCATGAGCCAATGGGCTCCTCAGCAGTAACTCCATATCCGCATCGCTGGAAACAGCAGAGCCACGGGAGGAGCTAAGTGGAGAGGGTGGTGAAACCTTCTTCCTTTTGTTGTTGCGACCTTGTAAATTAATTGTATAAGGCTTTCAGCTGCTTTGCAGCTGTTGCTCCACCTCTACACAATGTGATTTCAACTCTTGGAATTGCAGCAACAACTTTGGTTAATTTTCTTGCAAGAGTTCATTGAGTTTTTTAACTTCGGAGAGTTCTGCTATGATGGATTTGAATACCGATTTCAATTGGGGGTTTTTGTCCGGGGGTTTTGATTTGACTTCAATATTGTCCATTTCAGCAATATTCTTAATAAAACCTCTCCTTTAACTTAGAACTTTGATTTTATTCTAGGAAAAGTAGGCCAGAATTTTTCAAAACAATTACTATGAATTACAAAGTGATGTACAATAAAAACAATCGTATTAACAGCAATAATTCAAAATTTAATGTTAGATATAATTTTTTTCCAGTACACAGAAATTGAAACGTATTGTAAGAAATTTTTTTGTATTCCGTTTTTACCTTTTGTTGGCATTATAAATACAAATCACCCATCAGCAATAATTATGTCTGTGTAATATCATTATGTCCGATAGACAGTAAAAGGACACTAAAAATACATTACATTTAGGAAAAGATCGCTAAAAAGTTGACTGCCTTCGTGAAAAGATCATTAAAATTATCACTACCTAGGGGAAAATGATCACTACCGCAACATTAAAAATTTTACATGAGACGTCGAAAACAGTACACTATTTTAGTGTTTCGGACACGTCGCTTTAATTTTTGGTATACTGTTTTGGATTATCGATGAAGAATCGATACTGCATCGATACTTTGGAATCAATCATCGATCCCACTACGATACCAATTAAATATATTTTTGTGCATTGCATGTCATAGGAAAACCATCGATGCTTTATTCATATCTGGTCATGCTTAAAAGCATCATTGCGGTGGTGGCTTTTTGATGTAAAAGGTATGGATAATGAATATAATTGTGTGGTGGAATCATTATTTTTTTATGGGGGAGTTTTTAACGCTGTCACAAAGCATCCAAAAGTAACAAATAAGAATCAACAAATTCAAATAAAAGTGATTTATATTTGTGATGAATATATGAATGTATAAATTTTATTATTATATTTATTTTAAAATGATAAATTAATATTATATAAAAAAGAAGTACAATGACCTTATATATAAAAAAACACACAATATGTTTACAAAATTTTGAGATGAAATACAGCATAAAGCAATAAATTTCGCACATTGATTCCTCGAAACTGACTAAAGCTGCAATAAAGCATCGATGTCATTGTGATTCTTTTGGTATTGATGCCATGACAAACTGTCGGGAATCTTCTACAATATCTCAGAGGGTCATTATTTTTTTTTCTATTTATTTATTATTTTATTCTGATTACAAGAACATATATTCTCTAAACCATTTACTCACAGAGAATCTACCTGTCTCTACCTGTAGTTAGGTAATGATTCTATACATGTAACATAGTTTTGTAACGTATGATATATGGAGATAGGTTTAAGATTTAAATACCTATTATCCTTTAAGAAAGACAATTCAATGTTAAAAAAAGAGCTGGTCAGTATATGTATATGTTAAAAAGTGATTGCTGAAAACGTTTATTATCCCTGCCTTACGTTAACCTTCATACCATTAGTAATTCGGTACAAGTCTAACTGTTATGCACACATGACCAGGGGATTATACGTTTTATACCCGAAAACCGAATAAAAATCTTTGAAATTCTTTTGGAATAAAAATTCATTTTATTTTCACTTTCTAAACAATTTATTTATAATATCAATATCAATTTACATAAAATGCATAACAATGAATTTCATTTTGACTTTTACTTCATTTGATTGCTTCTTCGTTTAATAATAATTTACATAAATTCATTATATAACAAATACATAAACTTACAATTAAAAATAACATAAAAACAGTAAACAAAATCGAATTTGACTACAAATTTTAATTTTCATGAATTTAAATAATTTGAAATCGATTTTAATTTCATATAAAACATAAAACATAAGTACATAATAATAATTTTTCTATTGACTAGGGATAATTTGTTTTTCTTTGAATTTCATTTGCGTATAAAAAATGTGATTTTAAATAAATTTATAATTTATTAACAACTAATTTTATATTTTATTATTGCACTGGTTTATCATTTTGATTAGCTTAGCAAGTTTCTAGTGTTTAAATGTAGGACGCACGAATTTCAGTTGCAATGTTGAATTTTACGTTACGCCAAAGACCGTTTCAGGCAAAATTCGAGATTCGTTAGTAGCCAAGACCGTATCATCGTGCAGTCTTTGGTGGCATAAAAGATATCGTACGTAAAAGGTTAGTGTAAACGCTGTGGTGAACAGCAAACAGCACATTTGGTTTGGAACCCTGGTGGGTAGCTTGGTTATTAAATAATAGTAAATGATTTTAGCAAGCGAATTTGTGACATAATTTTGGTCATTTCAGTGGCAAGATGATATTTAAAAAAAATTTAGTAATAATTTGAAAAGTATCTAATTGGTTTAGCTTCAGGCATATAATATGTGAAACATACCTATGAAATGTAAACCTCTACGCATTGGTTAGCCACAATGCACTGACCTGTGCCGTTAACGTTAGGCGGGACTGGTATTGTTTCGACAACTACTGAAGTGGCTTTGGTATTTGAGAGATACGCATTCTTATTACGGGCATTAGTTTGAGTAACAATGTCACTACGCCCGACGTTGTCAGTGGCAAGACCGGTTTCTGCTGAAGAAATAGCTTCAGCTTCAACAACGGGCACGGATGTTTTTATAGGTGAAGTTGTTGACATAGTAACGTTTTCTTGTGTTGGTGTTTGTTGAGTTGAAGTTAGTGGTGGTACAGGTTCTGATACTGCTACATTTGCTGAAGCTGGTACCGGTACTGGTACTGGTGCTTCTATTTTTGTATGAACAGTAGGCTGTGCTAGTGCTGATTGTGCTTGCGGTTGCGGTTGTGGTTGTGGTTGTAGTTGCGAATGTGAAGGTATCGGTGTCTGTGTTGGTGAACTATAGTGATAAATATTTTTTGGTTGGTGTGATAATTGTAATTTGTTGTGATAAACTGCATTTGGCGTTGGATCGTGAGCAACGGTTGGTATAGGTGTGAGTGGTGCAGTTATAGTTGTGAATTGCTTTGGCGGCACAAGTGTCATTGTTTGTGCCTTATTTGGTGTTAATATGATTCCAGCTGTTGTATGTGGTATCGTAACGCTGGGTGGACTTAGTGGAGTTTGTGGTGCGGCATAATTCGTAGGCGCTACAGCAGGTATGAAATCGAGTGAGTACTAAAACAGAAATGCGTAGTAATTACTTAAAATTCAAGAGTTGAAGAATGCAGTTTCGCATTTAACCTCAAATATACATTAATCGGAATAATTGCTATAATCGGGAAAAAAATATTCATAATTACAAATTGTAATTTTGAAAAATGTATAATAATTTCATAATAGAAAAACAACACAGTTACTTCGGAATTTAATTACGATTATGAAAAGAATATATCCATGATTTCATAAAAACTAATTTTTTTCTACTTTTAATAAGGAAAATATGATTAATATGATTAATGTTTATGTCGTCAATAATAGAAAACTAATGATACCAATAGCAGAATCAAGATTTGCAATCATAGATAAATTTATGTTTTAATATCTGTTAGTTGTAATCTATAAATACTTTTATAAGTTTTTGTTTGAAACAAAATAGTTTCAAATTGTACTGAATTTTGGGTTACTTTCTAAGCCCAATAAAAAGCTGAACTTTAAAATAAAAACATTTTTTTATTTTAAAAAAGTAAATATGACTCTGCCTAAATATATTAATTTAAGTTTCATTTTCACCAATTTAAATACTGAAATTTCGGAGTATAAATACGAGGATGAGATTCAATTTGTCTACTTACCATTGCCTGGTGTTGAGGTGGTGAGTGTGCGGGTTGGCTAAAATAAGTTGTGGGTGATACAGGTGGACTGGGATACGGCCAGTAAACTAACGGGTGTGGATAAAAAGCCGCAGGATGATGAGGATGTGGAGCGTGAGGATGATGAGCTCGATGAGGCGAAGTAATTATAGGTGCTGGCGGTCCAAAGTGCGTAAATGGTCCAAACGGTGAACCGATAACAGAAGCACCTATTGAAAAAAAAAACAAAAATAATTAAAAAGTTTCTCCAAATATATTCAAACTTATTCTAAACCCAGTGGACAGTTTAACTTTCAAGAAGAAAGTACCAATAGCAGTTAAAAAGTATTAGTTAGTTTTATAAAAATTAACGAGTTATGAACTAGTTACAATTTTAAAAAATACTGGACAATTCATCATTTTTTACATATTATAACCGAAGTTTTTCTTTTTGCAAGTGTTAATTTTATTTTTGTAAATGGACAACTTCTAAGGCACTAGAATTGAAACGTGTTTTGTGTTAGTAGATTCCTAGATATACTTATTGTAAGTTTCGTTTATAATAAAAATTTAAAGTAAAATTATAACACTCACCGTTTTAGACATTGCAAAATGGATTTTTGTTTTAATACATACAAATTTTTACCATTGCCCCACCATGAAAAGAAGTTGATTTGCGTTTTTATACTATTTTTTCATTTTGGTAATTTTTTATTCCACCAAGCACCATCAATTAGAAGAGAATATGCAATTGAGAAGACTCTGGACCAAGGTACGACGATGATATATAATTTTGCAACAATAACACATATATTAACTAGTATATATATATAGATTTATGGACACAATATAGTATTAAAATTTTAATAAAAATTAATGTATATAATTCAATCATAAACTGTTGAATAGATAAGCTCTCCAGTGTGCAGTTCAGTAAACCCAGTAACATACGGACTAAGACTATGAATATAAGAAAATGAAATATGTAAAATTATTATATAAATAAATTATTGATTATGTAAGCAATTTTAACCACGTTAATTTACGTTAAAAGAATGGCTGTTAAATACGCTAGTACGTTAGAGAACGAACTAATACTAGCTGTAGTTTGTTAGCGATTCGTTAACCTTGTTTCCTAACACCAAAGAATACCGATTAACGAATAACAATTAACAATTATCAAGTGACGAGTACAAAATTATATGCCAATATGTATATTTTCGATGTCGTTTTTGGTCTGTGCAAATTTTTTGTCAGTTATTTTTGCTGGTTACTCGTTATAAGGAAACTAGTGCTACATTTTTAAGTCCAAGCATTTTCTGATAACTTGACTAGTCAACTTAATGCGCCAATTTACGTATCGATATCCTGCGAAAACAATTCAGACGGACAAAAAACGATACGTTAATTAAAGGCAGGTAGAGTAACACAGCAAAATTTACTTTCACCCATTTACTTGCTTTTGTACTTACAACTCTCTAGAAAATTGTGAAACCACAACCAAAAATTAAAACTTTCCTTTGAAAAATCCAATAAACACTGAGATAAAATTATAATTTTATTAAGCAGTTAATGGGTATAGTGTAATTAGACCAAAAGTCATAAAAAGTTATTAGTAAAACATTTTGCACAATTACAAAATAAATGGCACGAGGATAAAATTTATATCGAATTTAAAAGTAAAACGATTTTATAAATAACGTAAATTGATAGAATTGATATTTTATGTAAAATAAATTTATTTAAGAAAAATAATTTTATAAAAAGTATATATATCAAAAATGTAAGCTATATTGCTACAATAGTTTAAGTAAACTTTAATATTAGTTATAATTAAATTGTTAATAAATTCAATTGCCATTTTTTTTTAGTTTTGATTTACGTGCATTTTGGAATGACTTAAGTTTTTATTATAAACAAAAAGTAATATATACATACGAATGAGACAGATTTGTGAAAACTAAAAATAGAATTTTTTTGTTTAAAATTATTTATTTTGTTTAAAACATATAAATCAGTTACTTTAACGCCACAATTATACTGTACTTTAGGATTTTTAAATTGAATTTTTCCAAAAAAATATGTTAATCACTTTTTCGTTTATATATAAATGCGCAATAAACCAAAACCTTTTTTTATTACTTTTTTAGTAAAAATCATTTCATGTAATATTTCATTATAAAAGAAAAAAAATAACATGAGTCCATTTTACTAGCCATAAATTCTAATTTTGCTTAATATAATTTTTAAAAATTAAAAAAGCTGCCTATTGAAAGCATTTCCTTTCTCCGAAAAATTATGCAGTGAAATACTTAATACCAAAAAAATAATTCCACTTTTACGATTTTTGTGCCAAAATCACAAAAGAAAATTTGACCTTTAAGTATCGATTAAAATCTATTTGAAATCCATTTTTCGTATTAAATTACTTTTTAGTGGCTAAAGAAAGTGGTTCAGATAAACTCCAAGTACATACATGAGTACATATAGAAAATTTCCTCCTGAACCACGATTCATTTAGTTCGATAACACTGATTGCGTGTATAAGTACATTCGCGTATTGCTGTCAGCCGCAGTATCGCTATCAGAATGTAGGTTCATTGTTCACTAATCTGAAGTTATGATCGAAATCAGTTTATGCATTATGTATGTAATTGTGTGCTTGTATGTGTGCTTCTATACATATTATGAAATGTATAAAAATATAAGCATAGTTTTCCTAGAAGAGGTCTCCCACTATTTGCAGGAGTATGTGTTACACCAAACCCAACAGTTTGTAAATTGTATTAAAATAACTAATGTCATGGTTAATGCAGCCTGTATAAAGGTTGTCCCACAAATGTGGTAAGTTACAGTATACTTGGGTCAATAAATTGTAAATATAAAACCATCTGCAACTCTAATTTGTGATAAAAATGGAACATCTTTAGATCTTACTAAAACATTAGAAAAATTAGAGTAATTCCGGTCATATATTTCATTATAATAATTATCTGAAATACATATGTAAGTACAGAGATCATACACTCAGGGAGCTGTTTATGAAGGATAAATGTATTAATTTAGTCTATATAAATATATCTTTTAAAGAGTATTAATACATGTATGTATTGTAAGGAATATCATAAGAATTCTTATATAGATTAATGTATTACACTACTTGTAGCAGTATTTTCAGAATAAGTATATATTTACAACTCAGAACTAATATAAATATAACCGAGCACGAGTTTGGTAGGATCTGAATTGCTGCTGTTGTCATTATTTTGATATTATTTTAGTTAGGAGGGATAATCAACTCTTGAACGTTTGACAAGGCAAGTGACTATAGAAGATGAACGACTATATTTTACTCCAAATATTTTAATTCCTACCAAATGTTTTTCTCTCTTTCTCTCTCTCTCTCTATCTTTCTTGTATGAATTTATTTTTCATATGCTTTTTACTTTCTAGACTTCCAAATTGAGTAAATTGTTAACTTTGTTAACTTTCGAATTATTGCATTTTTAATACTATCTTACAATTACTTGTTAATCTTTTTACCTTTTAAGGTTTTAAAGCACGTCTTGCTTGTATAGTTTTAAAAATATTTAAACTTTATTAGAGTTTTTTAAATGATTTTAATCCCACACCTAATAACTGATTTCAAAGTTGTGGCAGTTGTTTTTGAAATAGTGCCTCGAACCGCGACTGGATAATTTTACGTGTATAATGCATATATACATACAAACACACATATCCCACACAATCACACTTCCTACTATTATACAATAATTTTCTGAAATAAAATATGTAGTTTTTCTTAATAATCGTTAATTTCGCTTAGCCAAAGACAAACCAAACAAATAGAAAGTTAACAAATAAAGCTTATCATTAAAAGCGTTAAAAATTAGTGATGATAGTTAACATACATCGATATCGATTGCGACTAACACCAAATACACACAAAATTATACTAACTTATTAGCTAGAAATGTTTATAAATTAATAAAGTTAAATGTGAATAAAAAGTTAATATTCAATTGAATTAAGTACGAGTCATTAGCATAAATACTTAAGTGATTAAGTGAAGAAGAGATAATTTTTCTGAACAAAGATACAGGAAAGGATTTCAATAGTTACAGCGCAATTGACAATAATCGAAATAAAAAATAATAATAATGCCAAAATCTCATATCAATAAATCAATTCAATTTTTGTAATAAATTGTTTATAAATAACACAAAATATATGTAAACGTAGTAAAATGCAGTTCGCTTGCATGTTCAGATATATTTTAAAGCCCAGACTTAAATGTAATTTTACTTTACTGCTAAAAACATGAGCCAACACCTCGCAATGTCCATGTACGGAGTTAACAACCAACTCAAAGTAAAAGAATAACTTTAAAATTATAAAATTATAAAATTCAATAATTAACTTATTTAATAGTTCACACTTTCGAATCAGAGATGTCAAGCTGCTGTGGGAGATCGGTTGCACAGTCTCAGTACATGTACATTGGTAGCCTCTTAAATCAGCTCCATAAAGTACTTTGCTTCTCTTGAATAAACTTTTAAATATCTAAGCCCAATTTAATATATAAATAGTAATTTGTTTTTGTTAATACACACAAGTTGTAATTGTTAAAGCTGCGCTACATTTTTATCTAATTAAAAATTATTTTGAGCTGCCACTTAATATAAATGCAAGTATAAATATCCGTATACATATATAATATTCAAATTTTTTAAGACTTTTACAAATATATATTCTAATAAGTGTACAAATCATTTACCGAAACTGTGTTAATATCTGTACTAAACTAAAAGTTCTGTAGCCATTCGAATATTTTTCATTTCTTCATGAACGTAACAAGATACTTATGAACAATGCTTAGGATACTAGTTTTCTATGTGTAAAATAATCCAATAAAATTTAAACATTGATTAAGCTTAAAATATAAATTAGCGCTAAGTTATGAGAAATGGAAATGTCATTTATGTCGGCATAATGTACCATAGTATATATGAAAATGTTTTTGTTTTTATAAAATATATACCGATTTAGAAGGTATAAATGTGTTAAAATAAATTTAAGTGAAAAAAAATGAAAACATTGCAATCATACCACATATAGAGAGTTATCTTTTGGGGTTCAGACCCTGGAAGCACTACGGTGCATATTGCCCAATTATATCAAAATGGTTGTAGACGATAGATATAAAGCAAATTTAACGACAAATTTAGTCAGACAAATATTTGCGGTACTTATTAAAGTATTGACTGCTTTGCAGTATTTGAAAAAGTTTTTCTTTCTTAAGAAATATTAAAGCCAATATTGCAATATAGGTCAAGTCGGACGGTAGTAACAATGAAAGAAGAATAGCTCTTAAGTTTTATTTTGTTTTTTAAATGCGTCATCAATGACGAAAACTACCTATACGCCTGGATTGTAGAATGGGTAGACACCGGTTGGTGGTCGAGTAAGAGCACGTTTCGCAGCACTGGTGATGCTTGCTTCTTGCTGAAATGCGTGTTCATATGAACGTTTCATGGAGTGTGGAATCGTGGTTGCAGCCGCTGCACTTGTGTGTGTGGCAGTAGGTAGACCGGTGCCTGCGAAGGAATACGCACTATGTGCCGCCGGAAAGGGACTGATTGGAAATGGCTGAAAATATGGACGAGGCATAAAGACGAATTGTGGGTGTCCAGCTGCCGTGGCGGTGGCGGCTACCGCCTGTGGTGCTGCTGCAGCTGCAGCATAAGCAAAAAGCTGCTGCTGCTGCTCTGCAGCAACTGCAGCTGCTTGTTGGCGAGCTAAAAGGTTTTGTTGAGCAATGAATTGTGCTTGCTGCTGAGCTATTAAAGCAGAATTAGCCGCTTGTGGTGGTGGTAGAGAGAAATTAAATGGAAAAGCCATTGCTGGCATTTGTTGACTAACAGCAGTTGCTGAAGCGGTGTGTATTGGTAGCTGTGATGCTGCAGTAGCCAAGCCACCAACCTGAACAGCAGCTTGCTGTAACGCTGGGTGAGTAGTAGGTGGTGGGGCAGCAGCAGCAGCTGCGGCTAAAAAGGGATTTAAACTGCCAGTGGCCATAGCAACAGGTTGTGGATGAGCTGCTGTTAATGGCATATGTGGATGGGCTGAAGGCAGTGGTACATGCGTATGTGCTGTAGGTTGAGAAAGTGCCGTAATTGTTGCTGCAGCTACTGTAGGGGCCGATTGCAATTGTTGGGCATGAGTGTGAGCATGTGAATGAGCTTGTACATGAGCATGCGTATGAGGACTAATTGCTTGTGCTGTAGACGGCGGCGGTTGAGCTAACATACCCGGTGATAATAATGACGGTTGTTTTCCTGTTGGTGGATGGTGCGGATGATGTGCTGCTACTGGAGATTGTAAACCACCATTTAGCACCATGTTCATATCATCACCGGAGCACTGAAATACTTCAATGTAACGGTACTTTTTACCAAACATCATAAATTGATTATGTTTGCGTTGAGCACATAAATGCGCTGCTTCTTCCGTATCCATTTGTATGAATGCTTCTCCGCTAGGTTGTCCCTAAAAAAGGGAATTGGATATCAAATAAAAATTATTAAATATGTGATTTTATTACAATTACCTGTGCGTTTATGACCATGTGAACGCCTTGGTAAATAATGTGTTTAGCGAAATCATCAAGAAAATGTAAAATATGCTCAACAAGCGCTTCATATGGCAGACCACGTAAACGTATACAATTTTTAGTGGTTCCAGATGTTATTAAGTGCTAAGAAATAAATTTTCGAATAAAGTTCAGTTTTCAGAAAAGCATTAGTTAGGAGATAATATTAAAAAAAATGTGAAATTAATTTTGGCCCATTACAAAGATTTTAAATACAATATTTACTAAATTACTTAGTATTAACAAATGGATTGCATACTATATATGATATGTTGTTAATTAAAAGCAAGATAAACTAATAATAAGCAGAGATGCATTTGTTAATGATATAATAATAAATTATAAATTAATAGTCCATTGTTAACATTCTATTCTATAGCAAAATTTTAGTTTCTATTCTTTTTATATATAGTGTTACTCGGCATTAATTTTAATTTGTTACCCAATCATACCTGTGGCAATAGAGATAATTGCATAGGTGGCAACTGTGCAATCAATGGTGGTTGATGGTTTGCTTCATAAGTTTTAGGATCCATTGAACGATTAAGTACTTGTTGCACTTCTGCAGTTGTGGATCGAAATAATTCAATATAACGTTGACCAATCGATTCACGATGTCGTGACAGAGCTTTTGGTGCATCTGATTCAGTGGCAAAAAGTACAAAGGCATCACCAGTGGCACGACCATCAGGCTTTTTGACGAACAACACTCCCTCAGTACCGTCGAGTACATTGCACGGATTTTCACCAACAGTGAAAAAGTCCAGCTAAAAGCATATACGTTCAGCATTTAAAATAGAAGTAAATCATTTAATAAAAAACTTACAACTTGCTTAGCTACACAATCGTATGGCAGACCTCGCATTCGTATGATCACCTGGGCGCCTTTTGATAGAAAAGCTTGTGCTTCATTAGAGGCTCCACCTGCTATGGATAGAAAATCTTCGCCGGTGGCGCGATATACTTCAATATATCGATTACCGATGTGATGTTTATGTCGCTTGAGTGCCATATCTCGATGCTCCTGTGAAACGAAACGTATCAATGCTTCACCGTTCCGACGACCAAGCGGAGACAAACACAACGCAACACCACCTCTGCACAGAAGACAAAATAATATAAGAATAAAAGAAAGTAATCTTAATGAAAAGCAAGTATTATGTAATTTTGAGCAAATGCATTCCAGTTTTAAATAAAAACAAAAAAGATATTTGAAAAATGGAATAGAATTTATTTTTGTAATAAGCTCAAAGTTGAATACAACAAAAAATAATAAAAATAAAGTGAAGCAGAGAAACCTTTGGCCTCTTATCAGTGCGTGAACGGTGTGCATATATAATGAAGCTGAAATAAGACAGCAGCTACGAAGGCAGCATCCATTATCAAATTGGAATATTTATTTTTATTATACAAATATTTTCAAATAAAAAGTAAACTGTTTACATCACAAAGATCTTCGATTAAATTACATGCAGGGCCTTGCTGTTCTCGTCCACAAGGGCGTAGTTAAGGGCCGGCATAAATAAATTTACTTAGCTAGTTTATAAAATATGAAGCCAGAAATATTGGCAGACATTATTGAATTCTAATTGTTCATGTGTGACAATATGTCTGTAAATCTCTTAACATAGAACTTCACAATGTTTATGAAACAAATTGTTAGCCAATGGACATGCTCGTGATATCGTGATATATACACTTTTGTATACTCCACGGTTTATGCAGATGAGAAATGTTAAAGACTACGTCACTGTTTTAGTTTTAGTTTATTTATACATGAGCATTTTGAATATTTAAAAATCATCTATTTTTGAAGTTTTGTATTTATGCAAAATTTACTTATTTCTATTAAGCAGTTTGATTTCAATCAGTTTAGAGATACTTACTTCGCAACGTTTAGACCACGAAAGAATTTGGCAATGTCGAGATCACTGCTCTGCCAGGGTAAGCCACGCGTGCGTACAATGCAGTTTCCGTCAATCTCGTCGTCAATTGAGCTACAAGCAAAAAAAAACTTTTAATGTTATTATATACAAATCAAAGCACAGAGTTTGATTTTAGCATAAAATCACGTTCTACATATACACTGTGACCAAATAAAACGCTGACCAAAGCAAAAGCATTTCAAACATTTTATTTAAAGTTTTCAAGATTCGTTTTATTTATTTATTGTGTTGGGAAGGAGAGCCAAACATTCGTAACCAACGTCTGTTCTAAAAAAATGGTTGAGTGGTAGACATACCTTTAATCTTCACAGTCCTTAAAATATAAGATTATTTTGTTGTAATTTTTTTAAATAACTAATATGCTTATTTTTGTTATCTGATATTTGAAAGCTAAGCAATTTAATTTGCAAGACGATAAGGCAAACAAACAATCGATTGCTTTTATTTGGAAATTTGTTTGTAGCGCTCGTTTCAGCGTTTCACCAGAGACTGAAACTGAAACTGAGACTCCCGGTCTATCGATACAGTTTCATACTGTGTAGTTGAGCATATAAAATATCGTATACATTCTGATAAGCGCCGCACACTTGAGTTTGTGCCAAGTATTTCAAAGACTGTTTGGCAAGTTCGGATGTATCTCAAGTTGAGATTCTCTCTCTTACGCTAGGAACTAAATTTTCCTCTTTCCACATTTATGTAAAATTTATTCGTGAGCAGCTTAGCTCAGCTCAGCAAAACACGACCAAACTGAGTTCAACCAAAATACGCGCTGTCTTAAGTGCATTTGAGATTATCAATAAACATTTGAAATACTTTAAAGATTTTTATAGATTAACGCATTGAAGGATATTGAATTGTTTTTAATGTTTTGATATTGATAAACAAAAATATTTATACGACTACATAGATAAGCATAAGTTGAAGTATTGTAAATTATTTTTTTAGGAAAATCTCTATTATTATTATCTTTAAATTTTGTACTATTAAAAATTAAAATTAATGATTACTCACGATGATGGGTGGTTTGTTTTAAATTTATTGAGTGATTCATTTTAGGCAAAGTATAAAGGTCTTAAGAATTTTATTATTGCTTCTTCTGTTTAAATATTCGAAAGCAAACGAATAAAAATTAGATATGCATTTTTTTTAATTTTGTTACAAGACTTTTATATTTTATTTAACACGTTGTAGAAATAAAATAACCAATTGTACTTATTTAGATTAGATAAATAGTTGTGACTTACTGCAAATAAAGAATGATGAAATAAAAACATCAATAATATGTCTCTATTAATTTGAGTTTCTTATTAATACTATTTTGTTTGTTATACGAGTGCTTTCTTCTAAGACTGTTAATGAACGTTCATATTTTTTTTAATAATATAATTATCAGAATGGACAACCAAAAAGAAATTCAACAACATCCAACATCTCACTAAAACTATTATAAATTTATAATATAATTATAAATATAATTTTAATTTATATTATATCTTTATATAACACATATTGTTAGTAATGTAGTGATGAATTTAAATTCTAACCTGGTATATTAAACAAAGAAACTTGGAAGAAGCTTGTTAGTAATGTAGCGATGAATTTAAATGCTAACGTGGTATATTAAACAAAGAAACCCAATGTGTGGAAAATCGAAATATATTAAAACATTTGTGTTGTAATCTGAATTACATTGGCTCATGAGAGAAACCCAGATTTTCCATTTTCAATTAAATAATTAATTGTTTTAGCCTTACAGAAACATTCCATAATATATACCAACTAATCATAACAATAAGTACGACACATCAACTAAAACATTGAAATTCAAAAAAATAATTAAATTTTATGGTTTTAAATAGAGACCCAATATCAAACTTCCAATAAAAAACAAATTCGATCTGACCTGATATGTGTACAATATAATTTACTAAATAGAAAAATACAAAAGTATAATGAAAGTATATTAGCAACATGAATATTAGCAACAAACAGCAATACTGCAGCAGTCTCTCCTCTTACTTCGTTCTCTTAAACGCCAACTCAATATATTCCAATCTCAAGCGCAGAATCTTTCAAGACTTCATTAGTCAAAATAAGCCCGATATTGCGCTTGTAACTGAAAATCACCTCAACTCAGGTGACAGCAAATTTCAAAGTTTATAACCTCTATAACCACTATAATACAACTGGTGGATGAGGGACTGGGTGATGTAAAAATCTTCCGCCAGAACATATATAATGTTCCATCAGAACAACAACTTATATAAGTATATATTATAATAAGTAATAACTTCAATAGTAATATTATTAAAAATTTTTACTGTAATCCAATCAGTAAATAGAGTAGCACTTATATTTATTAACAGTGGCTTGAGAACATTTATCGACAAAAACTGTCAACACTGATCGCTATGTGGTTTCAATAAGCCCACAACACAACACATCCTGTTTTAGTTTTGATGTCCTAAGTTAGCGTAATGTCGAGTTTTGGAGGTGTGGATCAAAATCATATGACTTGTTACCACTGATCGATTTTTGTTGCGTTAATCAAATGGTCGGATTTTTTGTAACAAATCCTCAAACTTCCGGCGCCTTGAAAACAAACATCATTTAAATTTCAATAGAACTATTGCAAACAAGTCATCATAAATAATCTCATATTGTGTAAATCATATTACACAAATACTCGTATTACAAATATTACTGATTTGTTAAACACTTGCATATTTACTAACAAAATAGTTGTTATTTTCTAAATTGTGAACTATTATTTATTATGATTTTAATCATAATACTGTAGCACTTCATCTACAATCAAAAACTACCTAACTAAAACGATTATTCTACTAAATAAAGATCTCAGTACATTCCTAAATAAAAAATATTAAGCCTGGCACTTGCAGTCCAAACAAATTATATACGGACTATAAACTAATTAAAAAATTCGATTATTTCCTAAGACCACTGATGATGAGTACTTGACAATACTCGAAACAGCGTTGTATTTTCAGCCAAATTTCAATAAATTAAATAAATTTTTGTCTTTGTCCTTTCTTTGCTTTTGTCATAAAGACACGCCACTATCGGCAAGAAAAAATTAACATTAAAAGAAATTAATGTTTGACTTACCAAATACCAGGTTCAAGTACTAAACTAACCGTTTCATTGGCAATAAACTTATGACCTGTAAACAAATATAATATAAATAATAATTTAAGACAATTGTTTGTTGCTACCTACCTGATTTGAGCATATGTTGTATTACTGAGACCATATCTCGAGATTCTCTTATATAAAATTCATTACTCTCAGTGTTTGGAAGATTTAATTCTGAAGCGAATAAAACAACAAATCGAAAGATAGAAAAAAATAATTGTGAAATTTAAAAGCTGCTTACCTTTCAACATTTCGTTGATACTTTGAGGGGTGGACATTACAGGCATTTGTAATATCTTTTTAATATCTTTGACGGGAACCAACGCGCGTGATAGATCACCCGATTTGTGTTTCAAGTATTCTTTACGTAAATCACAAAATTTGTTATAATAGGTCGGCAAGTCCATATCTTTGGCACAAGCCTCGCGATGCAAGCACTGTCGTAAAGGTAATTGTCCATCTGTGATTATTTTAATATCATTGACGTCACTAACGGCCAGAGAGCGCAAATATTCATCGAACTGCAAAAATCATAAAAACATTTTAGTAGACGCAATGCTAGTTTCTTTATAAATAAAATAATTGCCATTATATATTTCTTGATAGTAAAGTAAGTGTCTAAGTACTGATATGTATACCAAATTGAATGAAATACCTGAAATACTAACTATTTCATAGCTAACTTTTCTGTTTAGAATGCAAATATGTTGCACTGGTAATGCTTGAATAGTTAATAGATTTTACAATATTTTAAAAAATATATTAAAGTGTAAATGTTTCAATATAATTACAGGTGAGTTATAAAGTTTTTAATTAAGAGCTTTGTCAATAAATTATTTTTCAAATAGAAGCACACGTCAAACAATAAACAATAAAGCAGCAATACTAAACCTTTGGGTTATCACCTCTAGCCCCTTCTCTGCTTTAATTATGCAATTAAGCCCACCCTAAAGTACACACTTCTGATTTACAAATAACACTGATGTTTCCACTTCAGACTAAATTACGCAAACGGATGCCGAGCGCTCCATATGCGTACTAATTTTTCAAGTAGTTCTAGTGATTATTCAGACTCTAAAAACACAAGGAATTTAAAACCTCAATTAGTGATGCTGAAGGCAGAGGTGCAAATATCGACTTTATAGTGTTTTATTTATAATGAAGCTCTTAACATTTTTTTTAATAATACATAATATAATATGTTAAAATTGCATTCTGTTAAATAAAATGCAATAAAATATCAGGAAGTACGAATAGTAGTTAAAAATTATAAATAATAAATAAATTGTTGTATTACTTCAAGAGTATCTGAGACAGCTTTAGGCATCTCTTCACTCATTAAAAATTGCAAGTAATCCAATCGCATATTTCAATATTATTTAAAATGTTTATTTTCATTTACGGCGTTTTTTTGCAAAAATCTTGTTTCTACAATATATATTCGCGAAGTCCAAACCCATGAAATGCAATTCTTAAGAAATAAATTTTAGCAATAATGTTATATATGATGTTGTGTAACAGCAATAAATAAGATTACCAAGCGCAAACATCTCATGTCTTTCAATGATATCTACACGGGGATAAACATTTAATACAAGACACTGAAAGTTAATTGCTGAAATGTGTCTTTGGTCGGAGTTTTTGAGGAATCCTACTAACTTTGAAATAACTTTAATTTTATATCAAAATTGCTTCCTTCCTATTAGTAATAACATTAGATGTATTCTTGTTCGACTAATGCAAATCCTATTCAACTTTTTTATTACGGATGCACTATTTTATTTAAGTAATAGGCTATTGAAGCACCCCGACCTAAAAGAACTATTGTGCGCCTTAAGGCCCAATTAGGACAATTTTAGACTATTTATAAATCTTGTAATTGCTGTGGGCTTAATTTTATCTATTTGACTTGGGACTAATATCCCGCTTCCAAGGTAATGGAGTCTACGTCTTGCAACCGCTGGGCAGTTGCATAGAACATGTTCTGATGTTTCCTTCTCTTCATGACAGAGTCGACAGGAGTCACTTCTCTTCCACACCTATAATCTTCATTTGGTAATTAAGTCTACAGTGACCTGTAAGAAGTTCAGTGTACATTTTAATATCGTTTCTGCTAAGGCCAAGAATAGCATCAACTTTGATGTGATTAAGATCAATGCATCTTTTTGACTGTCGTATGCCTGTTTGGGCTCTCCACGGATGCACTAACTAATATTCTTATTGCAATGTTGTAGATTTTGCTGAAATAAAATTAACTAATAAATTCAGAATAATCAACAGAAGCGCTAACCCAGGGAAGGAGAATCCATAAAACATATATGAGTGAGGAATCGAGAGAGAGAAACTGCAAAACATTCATTTATAATTTCAATTACAATGTATTAGATTTTAAGTTTTCTTACATAATAAAAATGGAGAAACCAAGGATTTAAAACTTTAACAAAATCAACGGTTTATCTATGAATATTTATACTGTTATCTTACATTGTTGAATATAGCGTAAGACTAATGATTAAACTATTCCATTTTAATTATGCCTCAAAAAATCTTTGAGGCATTTGTAGACCAAGTACAAACTATATATGTAAAATTTTATATAAAAAACTCTTATGATGAGATTGAGCACACAGAACAATGAGTTAACACATCAATCAATTTTTGGACAAAAAACGGCAATATGGAATGTATTTTGTATCTGTGCAATTTATTACTTACTAAGCAATTTATTTAAAATTACTATAAAATTACACACATATACACAAGAATATAAATATTACATACATATCAATATTATGTATTTAATTTGTATCTAAATGCATTGCAGCCAACAACATATAAAAAACACTTGATCAAAGTTCAGACATGGCGCACTCAAGATTTAACTGCTGGTTTACGACTTTATCGTTACGAGATAATCAAACAAAATTTGTTCAAGTTTAAAAATGTGAATAAGAAAAATTTAAAAATTGATATTAACAATTACAAACTTAAAATTATGATAATAGTTTAGTTTAATCCCGTATTATTAATCTAATCAAAGTGATAAGCTTCGCAAGCAACACGCAGTGAGCAAATAAATGTTCCTTCCAACCCATGGGAACCAATAGCAAAGAAACGTGAATTGAGCACTTTATATCTCTGATTTGAAACTGATATGTTCTTACCGAAAATAATTACAATAATAATAAAAACGACAACAAAGTATGGTACGACTTATAGCCAAAAGAAGTTATAAAAAAATGCTGAGTAATGCTGAGTTAAAGTAAATTTTTTAATATGTCATGCCGATTTGCTAGAATTGATACTGAGAAATGAACTTTTATAAATAAATTTATATTTATTTTATTATTATATAAAATGTCTAAATATCAGGGAAGACCGAAATCTATATGGCGTGATAATTGTAAGTACACAAAACAATTACTCTTTTTATTTTAATGCTTTTGTCTTATACAAGTATATTGAAACTTCTCTTATGATTAGAGATAAAGTAATAGGTAATTCCTAAGACACGGCCCTCACTTAAACAGTTCAAGACTAATATGAGAATTAAGGAATTGAAAATTTAATGTTGTCGAAACGGAACTAGAAAAGCTAATAGAACTAGGTGAGCTTTAAATTACCTTGAAACTTTTGAAAGAATATTGTGAAGATATTAAACGAATATCATCCGCAAATATAAAAAAAACAATGTAATTACTTCTAAGAATATCTAAAGTAAAAACAATATATAGAAAGAGACAAAAGACGCCACCTTATAGGACATCAGCATTTATAAGCAAATTCAGTGTTCTTAAGTAATTTATTTTACTTTATTTTACTTATTTTTTTCACATTTTATTTTACTACTATCTAACTGTCATCACACTTCAGTTCCTTCAAGACATTTACCTATCCATACCCAAGCAAGAACAAGCATTTAATTGTTATTTCATCAAAGAATATGTATGAAGAATTGGCACTTATTTTATATGGATTGAATGAAATTTTCTTTTTTCAAAGAAAGTCGTTTTTAACACAGTTTTATACTAAATCAAGTTATAAGTTCAAACAATGATTACAACAACAAATACTTTAGTACTTCGACTCAACTTTTTTAACGAAAACACTTCAAGATACTGCTTTCTCAAAAAGTAAGACAAATAATTTAAATGGCGTTTATTATTGATCCAATATTGCTCAGTCCAATTTTATCTTCAATTAGCTTATAACTTGATTAACTTATAATTATATATAAGAACATAAATAGAATGTAGTATATATATTTTGATCGGGCAAAATAGGCGCAGATTTATAAAGGGTTGAAGGGCATCTTCGTCAATTGGTTTGTTTTTTATTCTTTAAAATATTTAAAGACATATTTCTGAACAATTTTACATTCAGTTTTAGATCTCAAAAATTTATATTAAAACTAAAGACTCTAGTCTAAATTTTTCCTTCTTTCATGTCATTTTTATTTCAACTCAAATAAAAAAAACATAAAAGGGAAATATATATTATCCATTACATGTATTAGAGTTATAAGCATAAGTTAAATTTAATAAGAACAGATATTGCGAGCAATATAGTAGGGAATATTTGATAGACAATTAAATCTAGTTTAACTAAAATTCTTCTCTTATAATCATATTAATAAATAACTTTATAAATGGTACAATAATCTGTACAAATCTCTGCAATTAAAATATGTAATAAACTTGAATTCTTTTCGATATTACAACAAAACTTCTAATGCGGTGAATTACTTGAGTAAGTAGTTAAAATGTTAAAATCGTTATACTTGGCTATTCGGAATAACTTACTGTAACGTGTTTAAAGCTGATCAAGTTTATCAACGCGATATTTACATTTTGACAGGTTTCGTATTAAAGCTGCATTTACTTCCTATTTGGTTCTACACAAATACACAAGCGCATACGTAAAGTATCTTTAAAATCTCTCCAATGGAAGGGGGCTTATTACATTTATTATAACAAATGTCAATCTTTCCTTGTGATAACCGTGAAACGAGAAGAGAGAAAGAGAGATTTATGCAAAATATTTATTAAATACAATTATATTTCTAAAAAATTAAGAAATATACATAATACTTCAATAAATTGAGAAATAGAATTATTTACAACATTTTCCACTCAAAGCTTAGTTGCTTCTGGCTTGCATTTCTATTCAGTTAAGATAGTTTACGGATTATTGCAACTTTACAAATAACTTTAATATTAATTTTAAAAATATGTGGCAAATAAAAATATGTATAATATCAGTGTTTGTAGCTGGAAGCTTAGCGAGTTTTTCTAATATGATCACAACCTATGACGGTCAGTTAATATGTTCGACTTTTTTTCAAATATATTTATATGTGTTTTAAGGTTTACCGGAAGATTGTGTGGGTACTGTTGATACGAAGCCGTTTATAAAAGTCGGTTCTAAGCATTATTTATTTGGCAGAGAGAAAAAAGTAAGTACACACTCTCATTTGACTCAAATACCTATATAACTGTGAGAAAATTGTTTAATAGGTCACTTGGTTTGCAGCCATTCACATTTGTCGTTCCCTTTCAGCTGATCTTATATCTATAGAAACAAAAGCTGAATACGAAGCTCTAACTGAATACTTAAAGAAAAATGAATGGATTGATGAGTATTGGATATCAGCAAATGACTTAAGTAAAGAAGGTAACTTTGAATGGCTCGGTACTGGTAATCCAGTGACATTTGCTAAATGGTCAGCTGATCAACCTGATAATGCTTATACTAATGAAAATTGTGTTCACCTTTGGTACCGAGCCAATGAGGTCAGTATGAATGACAGAATCTGTACATATGATGCTTACTACATATGTCAAGCAAGAAATCCTAAAACAATCATATTCAGTGTTTGGTAAGAAACCGCAGCGAAACACCAATAATACTGTAATTTAATTTATATTTTTATGTTATATCATTTTATATTTGTATATTTTATTATTTATATTATAATTCATTCAATGTTCAATTTTTTAAACCAAAGTTTCTACAATATATAAATATTATTAACCCTTATGTATACATATATTTAGTTTATTTAAAATGTATTTTACCATTACAAATTGATTAATAAAATCAATCATTTCAATAATTATTTAAAAAATATATATATTCAAAGATATTTAAAAAAAATAGCAAATTTATTTTAAAGATCTGCTTAGTTTCAATAATTGGTTATAAGACTTACTAAACTCGATATTGAGTACACAACTAAATGTATCTAAATTGGTTAAACTTTAAACTATATTACATTCTGCCTATAAGATAAACTGAAATACTTTTCATATGGATATATATTTAACAATATTAGATGGACAGCAGATGAAATATTTTAAAAAAACTTTATGTTGATGCATCGACTGCAAACATTAACAGCTTCTGCCAAAATTATTGTCGGCATATATACATATAGCTTAGCTATTACTTAACGGATCTTTGTATTCAAAGCATCGAGAGTTTTATTTCAGAAAAATAAAAAGAAATAGCCGATTTAATAAAAAAAAGCAGTCTGAAAGTTGGAGGAAATTTTTGTTTAATTATGCAAGGGTTTGGCACAAATTTTAGTGAGTTTTAATCACAATTCATTCATTACGAGTACTGGATATTAAATTAAAACTAATAAATAATATTCATTTGTACTACTACACGATACAAAAAAAAATCAATTCTTTTTTAGGGCTTCCCTGCACTTAGTTCAACTGTAAGATGAATTGAATTTATTGATAATAAAAATATCTTTCATTGTCTGCAATTAGCGTTGAAGTCTCATATTCGGTTTCATTGATAAATTTCTTACATATTTTAAATTTTAATTTTATATAAATATTTGCTTATACTGAAACTAACCTCTTCGATGGCCTCATTTAATGGCTTTCCAGCAGCCTGAGCAACAGCGATGGGCAGTTCGATTTCATCCGTTGATATTATTGGACCATTGGTGCTAATTGTGTTATTGTTATTTATATTGATGTTGTTGTTATTATTATTGACGGAACCATTTGTAGAATTTTGAGAATTATATGTATTTGAATTTGTAATATTTCCATTTAAATTATTATTGTTTGTGCTGTTTTTATTGCTATTCACGTCCGTGTACGTAATTGCCAGTGGCGGTGATGAAGCATTATTAGATGCGTCTGATGACGTTGAAACTGTGCGATCTTTCACGAAACTACCATCAGGTCGCACTAAGATTTGTTTCGTACCGATTATCTGTTTGAAAGCAAAATAAATATTTATCAAATATATAATAATAATAGTAATAAAAATATAAAAGAAATATAATGCATCTTTTAATAGTTACTGTATATAAACAAGCTAAAGTGCTTTTTATGTATTATAAACTTTTTATATAGCATGGAAAAGAAATTGAAAAATTATTAATAAATTGTTTATTTTTAAACTTTTTACATACAAAATGTAAAAAGTGTGAGTTTTATTAGCCAAAATGTTTGTATTTTAATAATGTAAATTTACAGAAAGGATCTCCTGTACTATATGTACATAGTAGAGAGACTCGAAAGGGTAAATCAATTTAGCCATGCTAATCTAACTATATTGCTTTTTCAAAACAAAATAGTCACAGTATTTAAGATAAATTAATTAAATTTTCCATATAAATTTTAAAAACTGATATTTAATAACTATTGTTAAAAATATAACTGTATCCGCCATATATACTGAGGTGTCAGATATGTTTTTTTTTTGTATGAAAAATTGTTGTTACTCTCAATTAATAATCTAGCAATGTTCCTTTAAACATATACCTATACCAATATTTTATATTGGTGATGAAGTCACTCCTTACAGATTTGGATAAAATTGCAAGTAATGTAAAACGCGGAAGTCAAATTTCCTTATTGAACTAGTAAAACCGATCTCGTTTAAATAAATATAAATATGTCAAATGAAATTATTTAAATTAGCAAAACCTTTATGATGAAATTTCGATTTAATGCATTGACATATTCAATGTCAAATAAGTGTATAAAATTTTACAAACTTTGACTTTACAAAACGCTTTATCAATGAGTGATTAAACGGTTTTTTGAAATATAGTGGGAGGAATAAGTTGGCAACATAGGATTGTAAAGATGAATTAATCCTATTAAATATAGAACTTGTAAACACTAGTGGCGAAAAATTGGAATATGATCTGAAAACATTAGTTGATAACAAACAGCGTTAAAGGTTGATCGAAGATTGAAACGAAACAACTCCGTATCTAAAATACTATTTGGTTTCTAAAAACAATTTGCCATTGTTTCCATCATAGTTTTTAACTTATTTCTATTTATGTCTAATATCGAGTGTTTTTTTTTGTGGCTGCATGACAACTTAAAATGATAATTCAAGACAAAAATATTGTTGGAATGAAATTTTTTCATTATAATCTGGTAGATAATTTCATGGCATTTATTTTTTGAATATGATTTCCCGTATTCGTCCGCCACGGCTTTTAGTTACATTATGCATTCGATCGGTCGAATTTTTGACTATTTTTTTAAGTTAATGACGCCGCATGGCGTTAATGGTAACATGAACATTGGCTCCAATGTTTCAAGAGTTGCTAGTTTGTCGGCATAAACCAATGACTCAGCATAGCCTTATAAAAAGTGATCGAAAGGCATTAAAACGCACGAACGACAAGGCCAGTTAACAGGACCACTTCTAGAAATAAAACTGTTACCAAATTGATTTCGCAATAAATCGATCGTTAAGCGCGCTGTATAGTAAGATGCACTATCTTGCTGAAACTAAGTGTCGTCGATGTTTAACTGATTACTTTTTGGAAACAAAAATTCAATCTTAATTCTTCTACTTACAACCATATTCTGCTTTAACTATCTATTTTTAATAATATCACAACTAAGTGACTTAAGTGCATGAAATTATTTTAAAACAAACCTGTCTGATTAGAAAACAGAATACCTAGACTGCAATTGTAATAATTGTGACTTCAAAAACTGTTCGCAACTTTTAGTACTCAAAAACTATATAAAAGCTTATTTATATACTTTACCTTTTATATAAAATAAATTACTTAGAGAACTTAAAAGCCAAACAAGACATATTTAATATGATAACATTTTTACAGTATAAAACACAGATCTAAGGTACAAACTTTTGAAACAGATCCCATACAAATATGTTTAACTGGTTAATTTTACATATTTACTGTAAAATTTTATATTAATATTTTATATTAACTGAGATGTAAAGGATACTATGAACAGATGCTGTCAGTCAGTTCGAAATTTGAATATTGTTGTTCAATAAAGGTTTCGTAACCTTGATAAACTGTCAATGATAAGAATTACTGCATATTATTTAACTGCTGAGTAGAGTCTCCATTTCCGACTTAAAGCAGAATTACTGATAAACTATTTAAATAATATAACAGCGGAAAACTATGAAACAATGCATATTTGAAACAGAAATAAGACGGCATAACTTAATCGTATTTGGGTAACTAACACCTTTGCTCGCATATTTGCTGCATATTTTATATACTTTACATTTTTAAACACAATCCTCAAAGTCTTAATAAACGGTACACGAAAGTAAAATTCAAATAAGTTTGAAGTAAGTTTTCAATATAAAATATTTATGAGTTTACATTTCATGTTAAATTCAACAGCTCGGAAACGCTACAATTTCGCCTTTAAACACTAGTATATTCATCCATGGGCTGTATTCAAAATGATGTGTAAAATGTATTCATTAAATTGATCTTGAGGTTAAAACCTGTACAAGCTTATTATTCAAAACAATAGAATTAATCGATTTCGCATTGCAACAAAGACGATCGAGCCATTTAAATTTGTTGATTTTAGATACGCAATAAAATTGCAAATATTTTGTAAGACGGACAGTAGAAGAACCTAAAATCGAGAGACGAACCCAAACTGAAGATATTACACTATTTTGTATAAATTTTTACTCAATTGCTTGCTTCAAATCCTTTCAGAGAGTAGTGATTTCTAACTTTTATATTTTTTTTTGACATCTAAATTTAATAATATTCACCTCACCTAATTAAGATAATAAAATACAGCGATTAGCTATTTCAACGCGTACCATTTGAAAGAACAGCAAGTAGATAAATTGGATTTATAGTACTGAAATACTATTAGAAAATAATAATATTGTAGAAATAAATTCAGACTTTAAACTTAAACTTTAAGTTAAAGCCTTAAAGCTTCCAATGACTCAGTAGTACAGACTATTTTCCAAAACTCAAAAAAATGATTCAATAACTAGATATAGTAAACTTCATAAAAGAAGATAGTAGCAGAAGTCAAAATGCTTGTCTATAAAAAAGTATGACATCTACAAAATTTTGTTAGCTTTTGCTAAAACTTGCATTTTTAGTCAATGAAACTATGAAATGTTAGAATTTGAGGCAAAATTCTTAGTTCTCAATACACATACGTACAATTACACTGAATGTAATACTATGTATCCTATATTTTTTATTGTTGTCTAACCTGTTAGGATCAATGATATCGACTTGCAGCCTATTGATTAAAAACTCACTACTACACATATATAGTAGCCAACAGCGAAGTATAATTTAATTTGCTCTATTTAAAGTCATTAAAATATTTATTTAAATTTACTTTAAAAACTTAATTCAGTCTTAATTATAAGAGCAGGTATTGTGCTATACACTACAAAAAACAATGGACAAAAAATTTGAAAAAAAACGTTTATATAATCCTATTTCAAATGAGGGTTATTCTAATCTGTCCATTAATAATAGCTCAATACATTTCGAGAAAGTTTTTCTATGCTTTAATGCCATTATATGTAATTTTACGCAATTAATTAGGAAGGTTTGGACCAAAAAAACTGCAGAATGAACTTAGAACTTTGACAGCACAAAATGGATTATTTAAAAAAAAAATAATAATCTCAATAGTAGAACACTTTTTCTTTATCTACCTTATTTTTTCGCTAAGTGTACTATCAATTAAACTATTTTCTTTGCAGATCTTTAAAATGCACACATTTGAGAAACGAACACTTATGATAATTAATCTTAATTGGCTCTACACAAGTCATAACCGATGCAATTAACTACTAATTATTAGCTATTTTGCAATTCAATTATAAATCGCAACAAAAATATAAAATGAAACAAAAACAGGTAGTAGAAAATTAGAAAATAACTCTGAAGATATAGATCGGTTAATAGCTATAGCTAAATAGCAGTTACAACGAACTTGGAATGTTCTTTATGAATAATATATTCATATTAAATACTAAAATTATAATACAATAAATTAATCATAAAATATAATATTATATTCATTTAGGGTACGATGTCTTTAGGCTAATAAGTTAAAAAAGTAAAAGTACACAAAGAAACTGCGAATTTCTCCAAAAAGAGATCCTGACTATCAGGAATAGTACTAACAAAATATTAGTGTACTGTAGATGCAATTTATTACAGTATTCTTCTATATGAAACAGCAATATTTAAAACAAAACAAATTTTAAAAATAATGATAAGGAACGCATTTGCTTCATGGCTTATTTTTCAAAAATACATGTATGATCTATTGTTAAAATAGATAAAATAAAAATTTAAATTGAAAATAAAAACTTTTTTAATGACATTATTTAAGTTACATAATTTCGTGCATACGGCTACCACTGGAGCGTCGGAGGAGCTAGATCTTGAAGATATAATTTTCCACCATTTTTTCAATCATTTGAAGGCGTTTCTCACCAATAACGTTCTGAGTGTTCAGCTGAATTTTTTTTTTCAATACTATCTACAAAACATGCATCCATTGATACATAGTTAAAGCGAAGAAAAAACTTCCACTGAAGTTTAATTTAGTATAACTGTATTTTATTCATAAAGTTATGGACTTCATTGCGACATGTTCATAAAAACTATCCCATAAATACCATCCTACTTTTTTCATGCATTTTATTATTATTTTTTATCAGGGAGTACATGTGCGAAGAAATTTGGCAATAAATATCTTGTAATCGGAAATGCTTTGTGTTATTTATAACCAGATTTCATCCTTTGAATCTACTGAGAATGACGATAATTTTAGTGATTATTTTAGTAAATGAGTTGATATACCGTTAAACCTCCTACAACACGTCTTCTTTTAACACAAGTTTGTTCTAACACGAAAGAGATTTTGCGGCAAAGCTTCGTATAACATTTGGAATTCCTTGTTCTAATA